ATGCTTTGCAGGTGATTATCCTTCGCAAAACCATGACAGCATATATAAACACACTGAAATGCATATGCATCTCAGAGTGAAATAGAACTAATAAGTAGAATAAAACTTAAGGTGCCTCATCAAGGTCAGAGAAAGAATGCTGAATTCTTTTGAAATAGCTAAGTTGTTTCACCATACTGTGCAGCTATTTGGATTGCTAACATTAATTGGTGCAGTCATCTTTAACCTGCTGTCCTCCAGATGTGCTGACTACGATTCCCAACTTTTATTTCATAAACAAAGCTAAACCAATACCCCATGTAGTTTTTATTCCAATATACCACAAGTATTTTGTCTTATATTGGAGAAGGAGAGGCCCTTCTCCAGGAACCCTCCATGAAAGAAATTAGGAGGGTGGGTACTCGGAGGAGGGCTTTCTCTGCAGTGGTGCCTAAGTTATGGAATGCGCTCCCCAGAGAGGTTCGCCTGGTGCCGTCGTTATTTGTTTTTCGGCACCAGGCGAAGACCTTTTTATTTAAGCGGCATTTTAACTGTTAGTAATACTAGATTTTATCTGGCCAGGGCGGCTTATTTTATATTGTATTTTTGTATTTTTAATTTAATGTTTATATTTATTGTAATTTATTATAATTACTTTTAATTTATTGTTGTAAGCCGCCCTGAGGCTTCGGTGAATGGGGCGGCATAAAAATGTTTTAATAAATATATATATATATATATTACTGGTATTAATTACATTCTACTGTATTTAATTTTTCTTATTCTTATATCGTTCAAATGTTAGGAAAAAACAAAGATCCTGAAAACTTTTGACACTAATTCATTTTAACCCAACCTGAAGCCTTAAGGTATGTTCCAAGGACAGGCAGATAAAGAATGGAGCTTTTGCAGTGGTGACATCTCATATATGGTTAACAACCCATAGCTAAACCATAGCGTAGAGTTTGCATGTAACAACAACATATGATTTACCATATATTCAACTAGTACTTTAGGTTGTCATCACATGCAAATAGGGCTGCAGGGACCAATTCTCAAGTTACAAAGTAGTTCATAATGACTAACTGGAATAAAACCCTTCATTCTAAAATGTTGTTCACATTTGGGTCCTTCATAGAACCATCACACAAAGGCTATAAAAACATATGTATTATTTAATTATAATAAGACAAACATTTAGATCTATTGTACTTTTTTAACTTAGAAGAGCTCAGTTAAAACTTCTGTATATAAGAGTCTGCATACAATTTTGGCTTTGTCTGCCAAATGCTTAAATTTCTCAATGCTGCCATGACTGTACACAGATAAACTAGTAGTGTTCAATGCTCCCTATGCCACTCTATAAAGGCTAGAACTCAATCCAGACAAGACAGAGGTTCTGTTGGTGGACAGTCTGTTCATCCAACTGGGAAAATGTCAACGTATCCTGTACCCGGTTGCATTCCCCCTAAAGGATAAAGTTCATAGCTTGGGGGTATTCTTGGAGCATGAGCTGCAACTTGTTTCCCAGGTGGCCTCAGTGGCCAGGGGCAGCCTCAATTGACTTAAGCTGATTTTCCAGCTACATTCCTACTTGGATGAGTGGAGCCTTGCTAGAGTTATCCATGCACTGTTAACCTCTCACCTGGATTACTGCAATGTGCTCTACATGGGACTGACTTTGAAGACTGTCTGGTCCCTTCAACTAATTCAAAACAGAGCAGTGCAATTATTAACAAGGACTGGTCCTACAGAACATATCATGCTGGTACTCCGCCAACAGCATTGGCTGCCTGTTACTGTCCAAGCCCAATTCAAAGTGCTTATGCTAACATATAAAGCCTTAAACGTCTTGGAACTGGGATATCTAAAGGAATGCCTGTCTCCATATATTTTTTGTTTTTTTCAATGTATATCCTGCCTTTTTCCTACAAAGGGCTCAAGCTTACATCATTCTCCTCCTCCATCTTATCCCCACAACAACAACCCTGTGAGGTAGTTTGGGCTGAGAGTGTGTGACTGGCCCAAAGTCACCCAGTTGGCTCCATGGCTGAGCAGGGACTAGAACACAGATCGCCTGAGTCCCAGTCCCATGCTCTTAACCACTACACCACACTGGCTCTCCCTAACAGACCACTCAGATCTTCAAAGGAGGTCCTCCTTCATGAACTCCGCCCAGTAAACTGAGGGCGGAATTGGCTAGAAAAAAAAGACCACCCCTGTTATTGCAGCTCATCTTTGGAACTTTCTTCTGAAAGAAGTGCAACTAGCACCCTCATTACTCTGTTTTTGCCACCAAGTAAAGACCTTTTCATTTAGTACCTGTTTTAGAATCATGTTTATATCTGGTTTTCACTGCTGGTTTGATTTTTGCTTATATTGTTATAATCTTTCTGTTTTCACATTTTATATTAGTTGGCTTTTATGTGGCTTTTAGATGGCATTGTTTTATTTATTATACCTAAGTTACACTGTTGTTTCTTGTGAGCCACTCAGAGAGCCCTTGGGCCATGGGGTGGCATACAAATGCAACAAACAGATAAATACATAATGTGATGGTTGCAGATACTAGATACCTAACCAGCATAGTGACTGATCATTCTTGACCCATCACTATTATTCAGTGTCTACACCAGGAACATTGCTCTGTACAATGAGCATATTCTACTGTGCTTTAGTTTATAAACTTTTTGTGTTATGTTTAGATGTATGTCCCACCTTTTTCTCCCCAAAAAACCCAAGGTAGCTTACATAGCTCTTTCCCTCTTTGCTTTACTCTAAGAACAACCCAGCAAGTTAGGTTCGAGTTCTTTGATCTTTTGGCATTTATTACATCTTTTGGCCAGTGACTGCACAGAAGTCACCAAGTGCACTCCATAGCCAATCAGGGACTAGAACCTGAGTATCTTGAGTCCCCAATCCACCACTCTGTATCTTCTACACTGCACTGACCAAGAAGAATGATTTCGAGTAGTTCCTAGAACACAGCTGTAACATTGATCCAACCAGGTGCATCTACTACCACTCATCCCAGAGCATCCATAATTTTGAAAGCAATGTGTTATATCATATTGGCCAAAAGATCAAACAAGCACCTTATAGATTTCTTACAGAAGACTACTGCCAGACTTTTCACTCAGAGCTTCAGACTTCTCACTCAGATATAGTTTCAAAGATCTCAACAGGCAAGCAACCATTAAGAACAAAAGCTCTACTAGTCACATGTCACTCATCAAAGACTAAATGAAACTATTAGAAATGGCTAGAAAATGGCTAGCAATCATGTTAGGGAAAGGCCAAGCCAGATGATGATGAAAAATAAGTCCGAAAATGAGCTGGACTGAATCCAGAAAGGAAGCCACAGCCTTGAACTTGGAAGATCTGAATGGAGCTGTGATGGACAGGGTATTCTGGAGGGCTTTCATTCATAGGGTCATCATAAGTTGGAGTTGACTTGATGGCATATAGCAACAACAGAAAATCCTCTTCACAAAGGCAAACCTATTTGGCCCATTCCTAGTCGCATATTTGTAGCTCAAGCTGCCAAATGCACATTAACAGCCAGTATTTCATTACAGATGAAATTCCATGTACACTTGTTGGGAATTAAGCCCCATTGAACACTGTCATACTTACCTCTAAGTAAATCTAATAAGGTTTGGCTATAAAACTGAACAGATGGTTCAATTTCTCCTATGCTCAATTTCTCTTCATTTTCAGTACTGTACATTTTATCAAATTTATACTACACGACTATTTCTATCTAGATAATTTGCTATTCCAACTACTCTCATCAGAATGTTTCTGTCTAGAGAGAGAAAAACTTTGTAATAGATAACTTATAGTTGTAATAACTAAAATACCCTCAGAGTTGACAGTTTATTAACCTAAAATTAGTGACAAGCTCTTATTTTCCTTAAACCAGCACCTAAATAGAGATGGTGGTCAGATTTAAATACACTGCATGCTGCACAAATACATTATCCAATTAAGTCCTAATTATATAAGTAGCTGGCAAAGAATTTACAGAACCACAACAACAGCTATTGACATTGTAGGCCAAATGATACTAACTGTGGTGTTGAAAAATTTCAGTTCCTGTTCTAAGGGTATTTTGGACACATAACTAGCAAAATAAGAGGAAACTTGCCTGCGTAAGAAACAAAGTCAAGTATTCTGAATATGGAAGAAAGAATTTTTTTTGGGAGAGGGAGTCATTCTTTCCAGAAGATTCAGAATAAGAAGCAAATCTTGTGAAAAAGAAAACCAACATCTCTCACCCTTGGAACCGAGTCCTAAGTGCAGGGCAAGGTGAGAATTCAGTTTCCGTATTCCTTTGACATCAGTAACCAAGATGCAGGTGAAACATCCAGCCATTACTGAAGAAAACTATCCTCAACACAAAAGCTTTAACTAATCATTATACAACATCAGTATAAAACTGCTAAGTATATTTTTTACAGTTGTCAGCCACAGAATACTGTCAAAAATTTCTGTCTATTAAGAAGTAAGTTTCATTGATCTCGAACTGCAATCCTAAACACTCTTGCAAGAGCAGCTTGACCGACTGCATTCGTCAGAACTTATTTCTAAGTAGACTGTGCATGGAGCTGAACTGACGGCTACAGACCAAGCCATACCAGCCAGAAAGCCAGCCCCGCTTGAGTTCAGTTACAACGTGTGGGTAGCGAGACCCGCTGGATAGAAAATGTTATTATTACCTGTCAAAATGGAGTTCTAACTTCTCTGAGTAGGAACACATTCAGAGGGATTTTTTTAAGGGAAAGCAAGTGACAAGATTTTTTAAAATGTGCATGACGGTCCTCCTACCCCTGATCATCCATGCTAAGGAAGCATTTCCCCCGACATTTGGAGATCTAGAAAGTAATCGCCCCATTCTTTCTTCTCCCAGCCTTCGCTTTGTAAGTTACCCGCCCGCTGCTCTCTCACAGCACGTGCTCGCTCTCCAGGCTCCCCACATACAAAAACAACACACGCTTTCCTGTGGCGAAGTCCTTTACCTCCGAACAGGTGAGGGGAGAGGTGGGCGGGCAGCGAGCCGATTACGAGTCGGGGTCCGCCGCTGCCCCCCGAGTGTCCTCCTGCGCCGCCGCCACCGCTGCCTCCCCCAGCCGCAGCCCGTCCCCTGTCCTCGGGGGTGCTGTTGACCGAGTCCTGGGAGCCATAGAGGCCGCTGCTGTTGGGGATGTTGAAGGCAGAATGCGCAGCCCGAGTCCCGGAGGCGGCCGGTCCGCCCAGGGACCTGCTCCTGGGCGCTGCCACGGGGGGAGCCGCTGCCGCCCCCCCACTCGCCGAGCCGCCGGGGGCCGCGTGGTGCACTCCCGGAGCCAGGTGCGTGTACCTTCCCGCTCCTCCACCGATGGGCCGCCCGCCGGACCCGTTAGTGCCGCCGCCGCCGCTACTGCTGGAAGGCAAGTCCCCGCCAGAATAAGCCCGCGTTCGGCCATTGGCGGCGGCCGGGCCGCTCTGCTTGGCACCCATGGTCCTTTCTTCGCCGCCGCCGCCGCCGCCTCTTTTTCCTCCTCCTCCTTCCTCCTGCTGCTGCTAGTGTGGTTCCTCTGAGACTCCGCCGCTACCCTCAGTGCGACCCGCCGGTGGGGCGGAGTAGGGGAGCGCGAAACGCCCGCTGGTCCTTCCAGTACGAGTCCCGAGCGAGCCGAGCCGAGCCGAGCCGAGGCAGGCAGGCAGCTGCGGTTCAGCTGGCGGCCCTGGGGCTGCGGCGGTGCAGCCTCCCCCGCGGCGAGACCCTCGAAACGACGACAGAAGCAGCGACGGGGCAAGCTCCGGCGGCGGGCGCCGCTGCCGGGGAAGGCGCTGCTGTTGGGGCTGCGGCGGCGGCTGCTACTGCCTCTGCAGCAGCCTTTGCCCGAGGGCTCAGCCCCGCCGTTTCCGCCATCCTTGTCCCGGTGCCCCCGTCCAGGCCGACCGAAGCAAAGTCGCGGCGATGGCGGCGGCCACCCGCCCGCGAGGCCGCGTACTCGCCCGGGCCCGGTTCCCCCGCGCTCGCTCAAGTGTGAGGCGAGGGGGCGGCACCTCTGCGCCGTCCGCCGCTCCCCTCGCGCTCGCTTTCTGTCTACCGCCGTGTCGCCATAATGGAGGGAGGAGGTTAACAGACAGTTGGAACTGCCTCCGCCTCCTCTCTCTGCTCAGCTTCGTAGGTAATACTCCCCCCGCTTCTCTTTCTGAGGGGGAAACTAACGCGGCTTAGCAAGCGGTTTGGACGAGGAACTGGGCAGGCAGACCCGTCTCGCCCATTTTCTTTCACGCTCTCTCCTGCGCCCGACACGCCTCATGCCCCTTTCACAGCTCTCGGTCAGGCCGAAATTCAACAGGCGAAGCTTTCCCGCCACCGGACTGTGGTCGTGAATAAACACTTCGCCCGTCATGTTTTTGCTTCTCCAAGGAGGAGAAAGGTGGCAACTCTTTTAAAAAAGGCCAGGTTAACCAGCGCTGGTCATTAAAGACAGGCGAGCGGAGGCGACGTGGGAGGGGTCCAGGGCTGGAGCTGCGGATCTCTGGGAGGCCGCTTGTCCCACCGCCCTGCTATCCATGGGCACATGCTGAAAGAAACGCACAGGGTCCCTGATAATCCGCTGCATCTGATGCTCCTGGATTTGGGGTATTTTTTGCCAGCATTTGCTTCTCCTTCTGCTGCCCCCTTTATAATTCTTTCTACCTGAGGTATCTTCTCCCCCTGCCTATACATCCTCTTTTACATTTGTGGGAGACAAGACACACACAGAGAAAGAGAGTTAGATCTTATTAAATTAGCGTATGAACATGGGGGTCCTTTTTTCCCGTGGGGCTGATTCCAAGATCTTTTCAGTATGTAGTACAGCCCCTGTGCACAAATAAGAGAGAGAGAGAGACTGGGGTAGTAGTTAGTGTGCTGGAGTTAAACCCCTTCCAAATCATAAACTTGCAGAGTGACCTTGGGAAAGTCAATGTCTGTCCCTTGGCCAAAACTGCTTTATGAGGTAGAACTTTTAGATGAAGGCTGAGATAAATATGTAGCACTGCAGATTACACCTGCCATGTATAATATGCAAACATTGCTACATTTCTGAAATAAAAATGTGCCAGAGTTCAAGCCAGGTTGGAAATCCCTCTCCAAACATTGCAAAGCATGGTCCCCAAAGAGTAGAGATACTGTTGGTTCTGGAAACAAAAAACAGTTTCCACGTGATCAAAGACGTGTGTATGTCTAAAATCAGTTTATGGGAATCAGCTATGGTGAGTCATGCCTACACACAAAACATGCAGATCTTTCAGATTACTCTAAAACCTAAGAAACATAGATCATAAATGCAACTTTATCAAATGAAAGCCATTAAGAATTGTTCCATCTGAACATTTATTTATGTATTACATGTCTGTACTGTCCAACAGTCAAAGCTTTCTGGGCAGTTCACAGCAATTAAAACCACATAATACAATACAATACAATACAATAGTTGAAAATAGTAAACAGAGCCCTAAATGAAGCAGTTCTTTGACTGCCTCCTCCTGGACTAATTGTGTCAATTGTTATGAGACCAGAAACAAACACTGGAAAGTCCATATGATTTCCTTTGGGTGCCCTGGAACCTGTCATGGGGAAATATATGACCCTTTTTCTATTGTTTGTAAACCATAACCAATTTGAGCCAATCCTACAGACATAGTGTGTATAAGTAGTGGGCAATATGCATTCTGTGATCCACTGAAGATAGCTGTCATATATACACATCATGCTACAAGATGTACACCTTAAAAATTAATGTGTAATGTAGCTCTGCTTGAGCAGCCAGTGTGGTTCAGTGAGAAGTTAAACTTAGATTTGGAAAAACTATTCAAATCGTTGTCGACTTGGGCAAGTTGCTCTTTCTTAGCTTCTATTTCTCATTGAATGAATAAGAGTGACTTACCTCATACGATAGTCCTGAAAGATCCCAAGTACAGCTAAAGACCTGAACAATACTCTTTAAGAGTACTGGTTGGAAGGAGGAATAACAGCCACAGTAAAACTTGTTTACATTTACATTTCAGTACTTTTCAATATGGCCATAATAAGCTGTGTTGGTCCAAGAGCTGTTAGAGGGGATACATTTCTGTTACCTAATTGTTGTATTTATACACAATGTTCAAATAAACTTAGTACAAAAGTAACCTTATTTGCCAACCTATCGCATTTTTTTTTAAGTAGATGAGAAATTAAGGAGTAGTACCACTCCAAATTACCTAAACCAGTCTAAGATTAAATGAAAGACAAGCTCCTGAACACAGAATTTACCTGTATATCAGTGATACGGTAAATAACAACATAGCACAGAGTTGAGCAGGAATATTTTTTTCTGTGTAAGAGTAAAATTGAAGTCACAGGCTAGCACTACTTGTGATTTAGAATGTATTTTGTTCTCTGGGATATCAAAATTGTAGACATTATTTTAATTTCCTTTAAAGCTACCTTTGCTGCCAGCTTTGTATACTATACTATTAAAGTGAATTTGTCATTGAATGAGACTTATCAAAAGCATGGCAAATAAATAATCTGCAAAGTTATGCTGGAGTGAGTATGCCATTTCAGTTTTTCAGCTTGATAATGTCTGTTTGAGTCATGGTGGAAGTTACTGCATAAGTTAATTAAAAATTAAAGGATGCACTTCAATATTAGCAAGCTGCACTGCAAATCTAAATTGCATTTCCTGAAATGGAAACATCAGCATTGATGGAGGAGGGGACCTATTTTGCATGAGTCTGGTTTTCAGAGGAATCATGTGGGCCTCTTTCATGGTTCTTCCATGTCATTTAAGTGCATTAAGAACTTTCCTTGAGTTCTCTGAGATAAAATAATTGAGTATATCTAGATAGATATGTTTGTACAGCAAAAACAGTTTCTGCTCCAACTGTTTTTCTCAAAGTATATCCTGACACAAAAACGGGAAAACAGTTGCGTCATTCACAGGGTTCTTAGTAGTGTCTCTGATTTGGGTTTCCAATTCATGGATGGGGTACTAATAGTCCTGCTAGTGCTCCTTTGAGATCGCCATCTGCAACAGCAAACTGGAATGCCTGTCCACAGCCAAATTTCTTTCCTGTAGGCACATGCTTATCCTCTTGGAAGAAGTAACAGGCCAAGGAGTTGTGAGCCAGACTATTGCTTTGTCACCACTGTAGCTATTTTATTAAGTCACAATAATGCTAGTTCTTATAAAATATTTAAAGTATATCAGCTCCTATAATCTTGGCCCACTGGCCATGCTGGCTGGAGCTGATGGAAGTTAAGAGTCTAACAATATCCAGACAGCCACAGCTTCCCCATCCTTAAGCTAAATAGTCGTATGTAGAAAAACATGCCCATTTTCCTCTCTTTGTTTTTCTTTCAGTTTATATTCAGGGCTTGTCAAATTAGCAGTTCTTGACAAATCTTTTTTCCTGCTCTGATGCTCATTTCCTGTGGAAGAAGGCAATTATTTTCTGTCAAAATAACAGTTAAAAGAATATAATTCTTTATCTTGAATCATCAGAGTGAACCAAAAATCCATCCAAGACACTCAGAGTAGGACTATGCTGTTTTAAGAGAAATTATTATAGAATATATAATGTCACAGGGAAAAGAGAAATATAGCTAATCTTTACGTGCATAATTCCACAGGGGTGTGAACTTCTTTCCACCTGAGAGCAGAATTTCATTTCAGAAAAAACTCAGCAGTTAAATTCCACTGGTGGACAGGGCACAAGAGTGGGGGCAAAATACCAGAAATACCAAGCATTGAAGCTTCAAGTTCTTACTGCCAGTAATTGAGCCTTAGAAAGGGCATTTCACTTGGGAATAGGAAAAAAACTGCACAGAAGCCAGGGCACTGCCAAATGATCACGGCTTAGGAGAAAAAGGATATAGCCAAGGGAAAGGGAATATACCCTTCCGAGGAACCCCAGGGAGTGGCTTTGACTGCTGAGGCTGAGCATCTGAATCCCTGGGGTACAAGATTCAGCAGAGGCCATTCTATGTTGGCAGAACATGAATCCCTCATGACAGGTATGACAGTGGATCATCCCAGATAGGCTAGTGGAATATTCCAGCAGAGTAGCCTGTCCACCAGCACAGGGAAACTTATGGGCAGGAGATGGACAGCATAAGGGAAGGGGCACACTTAGCCCAGACCATAAGTTCCTTTAACTCTGCTGACCTCAAATGGGAATGTGGAGGTGGGTATGGTGTGTGATAGGACCTGCCTCCTATGCTCCCTCATGGTTCCTCTTGGGTACAAATGGAATGTGTGGTGCTGTATTAGGCATTCAATCAAGATGGTGAGCGGGGGGCGGGGGGGCATTTGACCTACCAGGATGCTTCCTAACAAATTGGTCCAGCAGGTAACATAGGGTGGGGTATTTCCTGGGATTTCAGGGAAAGCCATAGGCCAGAAGGGCTTGCTGGCACATACAGGAACTGGCTATTTGTCTATGTAGCACTCTCCCTGATTGGCTCAGATGTGGGACCCTTCCCTTTCACAGTGTGTGGTTGTCTCTTGGATTGAAACCAGGGACCTTCTGTATGTGAAAAGTAAGGTATTCATCAGATCAGGGCTAATCTTCCCATCTCTGGGTATTGAGGTTGAGGCTAGAAAGGATGAAAAATATCCCATGATGATCTGATAGGTATCTGTTGCTGTGGCTGATTGGTTAAGGAACTCCTTGGTGGACCTTGCAATATGGATTTGAGTTCTGGAAGTTACCTCTGCTTTGGTCCTGCCTTATTTTGACCAGACATATGAAAGGTGAATAAGATCTTATCTGCCTCTTCCTCCTGGGAGTACTTAAACATCATTTTTTGCTTCCCAGCACGAAGCTAGTGAAGGCTGCTGCTCTGTGTGTGGGTGGCTGTTAGTCTTGTGTGTCCTGGCCCCTTGCCTTGGTTGCTTGGCAAAAGAATCTTGCC